ATATATTCAAAATTGTTTTATTTAACAACTCTTAAAGAATCTTTACATCCAGTAACAAAACATTTAATAAAATATCCAACAAACACTTTCGACCTTACCCAAGGTTTGTTTCAGGTTAGAGAACAATCAAATTCTAAAATTATTATTAAATGTTTTGTTACTGGATGTAAAGGGTTGTCATTAGTACCAGTAATTGAGTTAGAAGATACCTTGTTTTATTTATCTTACCATACTTAAATTCAAAAATCTAATCATCAGCATTTGTTTATGAAGGTGTAGGTCTTTAATCTTAATGGGCAATTGGAGATTTTACTGTCAAATTCATTTTGTGAATAATAAATTTATCATACATTCCTACAGTTAATAAAGTAACTTGAGGCATTCATTTAACTTTTGACTGTGGAAAAAGAATTCATTATGTATTTGTTAGAAATTTGCTACAATAGAAGAAAGTATCAATTGCATAAATGTGTTAAACTGAATTGTTAAGAAAAACAAGTAATCCGTGTAAATAAATAATGTAATTTAGGGTGGATAACCCATATGATGACATATACTTTACAGAAAATTGTAAGAATGAAAATGAAACCTTTGTACAGCTCAACACAGCCCACACCTCTGGGGTGTCCATTGAAATAAGGATAATTACTGGATATGGTTTACGAAATGCCATTTCAAGCATTAAAATATTGCTCTTTCTGTTTGCAACAACCAAACCCAAATATATATATATATATATATATATATTATTATAATGCAGTATATATTATAATATATTATAATGTATTTTATTGATATAATATATAAAAATTAATATTAATTTCCAAATTATTCAGTCACAAGTTATAAACCTAACAAAGCTACATCTTCATATGATACATATTAAGGTACATAATGAAGTAAATTTTTAATTTGATAAGAACTAAATATTAATTGAGAGATTAAACATTTATAGCATACTTTTATTTAATCTAATTTTTTAAGTTTAATTATATAAGTTATTGAATGATGGAAGATAAAGGATTTTATCAGTTCAGTCCATTGTAGATTCTGAAGGAGTAATTCTTAGTTTTCTGGTGTAAATCAAGGTAAGTTGTATTTTTTTCTTACAGTTTAGTTCATATACTTTTCCATTCAATATTTTATTTATCATAACTACTTTCTTCAAATTTAAAATTTATATAAACACATATGATAATGTATCAAAATAAAAGCTTTTTATAAAGTAAAATTGTATAATTGTATATAAAGTTTGAAATTATTATTCTCAATCTAGATGACTGAGGTCATTGAAGTATTAATCTGCTGCTCTGAGGACCAGTCTCAGAAATTTTCAGATTTATTCTGAATATATTTGGTTCCATTTCTTGTCATCTGTGAACCCATTGTGTACCAAACTGAATCAGTTATGGACTTGTTATAAATAAATTCTTAGTGTCTATAGAGCATAAAAAGTTCAAAAAAGAAAGAATAGTAATATATTATGAATCAAGTATCCTGTGAGAATATTTCAATATAAGTACAAATCTTAAATATTTATTTGCTTGCTACAAAACAGGAAATAAACTGAAAATGCTTCTTACGTTAATTCAAGCTACTTAAAGTATATTTTACAATCAAGGAAATATGATATTAATATTCATAAGATTAGTNAAAAACATGTTTAACAGTAATTTTCTTGTATTAATTTTAAATGATCTGATAAGTTTAAATAAAGCAAGAAACACTAAGGTTGCTTTTTGAGCAAGAAAGGTATTACTTGCAGCACATGAACTTGCATATAAATTGTGCCACAATTAAATAGAAAACTTTTTTTTTGTTTTGCTATGGGCATGATTTCTGTCCAGAAAATTTTTCAAAATTAATTATGTCAGAAACATCTATATTTAATTTATTGCAATATTTCTTTAAACATCAAATATAATTGTGGGAAGAGCTGCTTTAGAAGTGTATGTGAGAAGAGCATATATTTCGTGCTCTTTAACATGCCTTTAGAACATCATGTTTAATTTTAATTTTCTATTATTCATTTGTATTATATTGCATTTTTTTTAATTTGCATTGTTTTTATTTTGTTTTTCCGTGTTGTTTATTTGTTCCATGTTTTATAATATATTAGCTCCTTTGTCTACCACCATTTTCCTTCACCTATTCTCCCTAGATTCTAGATATCGACTACATACCTGCCAAATTATTCAGTCACTTATTTTCTTTTTCTATTCACTCCGATGCTATAAATTCACTTGCTACATCTACATTTAGTCCCAATGTTATTTGTTCCATGTTTTATAAGAAATTAGCTCCTTTGTCTACCACCATTTTCCTTCACCTATTCTCCCTAGATTCTAGATATCGACTACATACCTGCCAAATGGACTCAAACAGTCATTGCTGTTGTCCCAGAAAAATAAGTTAACTCTTACTGTCCAATTTCTTTAGCCCTTGCCATGTTGAAATTATTCAAAATCTGCCTATATAAAATCATCTACCCCCCGATTACCTCCCATTTATGACTTTTCCGCATTCCAGTATAAAATATTGCTCTACTACAATCAATCTCCTTGAAATTCAGCATATCATTTTACCGAATTTCAAGTTAAAACTTCTTACCTACATGGCATACATTGATATTGAGTGAAAGCTTTTGATTCTATTGTTTTAAATAACAACAGAATCAAAAGCTTAGACAAATTATCTTTGAAAATTTGAAATTGACAACATTATTTTGACCTGGCTTAATAATGTTTTCCTATAACATACTTGTCAGATTAGGATTTTCAATTTTTACTTTTCACTTTTTGCATTTTTTACCACTGATAGGAATACCTCAGGGTTTGAACCTTAGTAATCTACTGTTCATAGCCTATATAAATGAAACAAATAAAAAACTAGTATTTCTACTTCATTCACTGCATATGCCGATGATATTAAACTTGCCAATAGCTGTTTGTCAATGACTCACAAAACCTTTGAATATCCAGTAGAAAAGGTATTTAACCTTTTCTCAAAGCTGTTTGTCATTTATTACAATGCGATATTAGTAAATTTAATACCTTACTTAAGAAGTTAAATTTACAAATAACCTATAGCAAGACTAAAATAATGATCTATAGCCTGGTAAGAGCACCAGTTTGCAATAACTTTTTATCAGTAATCAAAGATTGGAAATACTTGACAGAGTTCAAGATTTAGATATTTATAATGTTTGATTCGAAACTTTCTTTCAAACTGCATATAGAAAATTTAATTAAACAGGTCTCAATTTGTAGGGAATGCCCTAACTATCTGAACTTCTGCTCCTTTATCTACTTTAAATAAACTTTATTCAGAATGGGCTAAAATTATATCTTATTTAAAAAGTTTCTAACCTTTCATTTACAGACTGTCCAGAAGTTGTACTTGTTTGCCTAGGTCAGGGGTGGCAAACTTTTTGAGCTCGCATGCCATACTGAAGCATACTTAGCTTTAAAGATGTTTATGCATGCAAAAGTTTTAAACTTTGAGTAATGATATTTAAATAAATTAAATGAAAATGCTTTAATTAGAATAAATGAAATAATGATTGAAAAAGACAAACTTTCAATCATTATTTCATTTATTCTAATTAAAGCATTTTCATTTAATTTATTTAAATATCATTACTCGAAGTTTAAAACTTTGGCACGCATAAACATCTTTAAAGCTATAACGATATTTAAATAAATTAAACGAAAATGCTTTAATTAGAATAAATGAAACAATGATTGAAAAAGACAAACAATAAATCAAAATCATACGATACGTTACGTGCCAGATGATTTCTCCTTATGTGCGACAGTTTGCCACCCCTGGCCTAGGTTTACCAAATTTCTATAAATGCATTGAATATTTTGATTTGATATATACTTATAAATATTTTAATGGTCTACTCACATTTATCTTCACACTCTCTCCATTAATACCAGAAATACTATACATTTGTACTCTCTATATTGTCATCTTAACATTACCTTTTGTTTACTGCTATCAGAAGACTGCTGTAAAAATCAAAGATAAACTTTACATTGAATTCATTAAATTTAAGGCTGTTTGCAAAAAATTGCTTTATTTTATTTAACTCTTTTATTTATTTTACTGAGTGTGTTGTTTTTGTTGTATGGGGTTGACAAACATTGTCTTAATGACATTGCTAGTAATATTGTAAATAAATAAATTAATTAATTAATTATAGTTTGACTAACTATTAATAATTAGTGTGAAATAAGTTTTTCTAATTCTTATTAAATAATTACTATTAAAAAAAAAACAAAAAATAACTGAGGCGATTCATGAAGTCTTCATCGTTTGTCCAGGTCACACCTCACATCTTGGGAATAAAACAGTCTGAAGGTGGAGTTGACTTTTTATTGTAGGTACTTGTCTGTCTCAGCATGTAAAACATGTAAAATAAAGTTTCCATTGATGGTGACAATTATAAGCATATATCTCTGTAATGAAAAAATATCAGTAATGGTTCAATAAAATGCAAGATTTGAATTTATTCTTAAAAATTTATTTCATCTCTTTCAAAGTAATTCCCTCACTGTAATGTACTGTACTTGCGTCAACATTTTTTCCAATCCTCAAAACATGCTTTGAAGTCATTTGTATGAAATCCCTTCAGACTTGCAGAAATTATGGCATCAATTCTGTCAAAACAGTGACCATGAAGTAGAAATTTTAGTTGAGGAAATAGGAAAAAGTGATACATTGCCTGGCACCATAACACATTGGCCAAAAATTCATCAACAAGAGCATTATGAGCAGGTGCATTATCATGGTGCAAATTCCATGAGTTTTCTCATCACAGATCAGGTTGTTTTCTACAAATTGTTTCAAGCAAATGGCACACAACACTTAAATAATAATCTTTGTTGACAGTTTGACCAGTTTTGGCAGTCTGCCATATTTTTTTTTTTCCTCTCTTTTTGTTAGATTCTTTTGTCTCCCAGTTTATTCCATTATTGTGTAAACTTGTTCAGACCAGCTCCTTTGTTTTAGTGAAGACCCTCTTCCTCAGAAGGACTGGTCTGACAGATGGATGGAGGCAATCCGGAGATATGAAGAAGGGAGAGAACTATCTATTGGCTGGAGAGATGATCACTTTGGACATGGATTACAAAGCAAAGGAAGGAGTCAAGTAGATCTTCAGAGCAGGCAGCCTGAGATTTAGCGAGAAGTAGATTTTCAGATCTGAGCAAAGGAAAATCAGATGAGATTAACTGACTTTCTTGTGGGATCCTAGTGTACATTGCCCTCTACTGAAGAAAAGTTTTTTTTTGTTCTTTTATTTGTCAGATTGTCCTAGTACATAAACTAGTTTTTTTAAAGATAGTATTAATATCCTGTATAAGATTTTATATATTAATTATATGTTTACATCAGCTTTATTTGTGTTTTGTGCAGAAGCTTGTGTATCAGTGGTCCAACGTGTGTTGGGCTGAGTTTTGTCATGCAAAGATTTGAGGCTGATAGATTAGGTACTGTGGAATTTGCTGTACATTATTTTCTGTATATTAAACCATTGTTTCCTGTTAACAAGTGTTTTAAGTTATTTTCCAGGATCCAAACCAACAACTGATTTTTCACATCTCTCACAGTTGGAATTTGTGATTCACAACACCATAATAATCGAAGAAAACAGTCAACGCAACCTTGATTTTGACTGACTTTGATGTTGTCTTCTTGGTCTTGCTTTACCTTTCAAGTGCCATTCACTCAATTATCAAGCTGTTTTGGTGTCAAAATCATATATCTATGTTCCATCACTGGTAATGATGTGTTTAAGAACGATTCATTTTGAGAAAGCATTTCCTTGGTGACTTGAACACATTTTTGGAAAAAAGTAATGTTTTTGGTAGACTTGAGAAGCAATGTGCTGCAAGCCCAAATGACCTTTTAAAATTGCTTGACAAGATCCAAATGATACTAGAATATGTTCAATAATGTCCCCAATTGTTAAATGATGATTATTGAGCACCAAATCTCTGATTAGAGCAATGCATCAGTTGAAGTGGATGGTCTACCAAAGTGTGGTTGTTTTCAATGCATTCCCTACCTTCCTAAAACATTTTGTATCAGTGAAACTTTATTTTTGATAGACTATCATAACCAAAGGCTTTTTACAATATTTCCAACATGTTTTCAGCAGTAATTCTGTTGCAAAAACAAAATTTAATGCAAGTTCTTTGCTTAATTAGACTTGACATTTAAAAAAATTTTTATACACAAAACAAGCATTTATTTGCAAACAAAAACAGCTGATTACATGCAGATTGCTGCTAAGTGTCGATGAAAGTCATACCAAACAACAATAGTGCCTTTTTGATCATAGTAGTATATAAATATTAAATAAAAAGGTCTGCTCTACTGTAAGACTTTTATTCCCAAGGTGTGACATGGACAAAGGATGAGAACCTCTTCAGTCTCTTTAATTATTTTTGTTTTAAAATAGAATTGTTTTCCTGGTAATAATTAACAAAATTCAAAATAAAGACATTATGTTTTTGCTTTATTTTTTTAAATTCTAATGCAGACATTTATTTTATTTATGATAATTAAATTAATATTTGTGTAAAATTGAAATAACTTTCGATCTGAGCAAAGATAATAGCTTAGTACAGTGGCATGTATGGTACACATAGCACAACCTTATGTATTGTCTTTGCCAATGCACATTTGAAATGTCTTGTGTATGGTACAGTACTTTGCCATAGCACAGAAGTGCAGTACTATTAGCAGTTGTGAAAATGTGAAAAACATGTTAAAACTAAAGCCAATATTTAAGTTAGTTTGAATAGTGAAATATGCACTTTATATCTAAATATATAAAATTACTTGTCCTGACTGACTGGGTGATTCATCATCACCCAGAGCAAACGGCTGAACCTAAAGAGGTGAAATTTGGTACACAGTTAGGGTACATCATGAAAACGCACACTAAGAAGGGATTTTTTGAAATTCCCCCGTGGAGGGAGAGGGAGAGGATTAAGGCTTAACCGGAAGAACGGCTTCTACTGTACTATTTTAGATGCGATTTTTTTTTGTTTTCAACTATGTTTAGTCTTCATTGAGTACTTAGGTGTATTAAATTGATAACATTTCAGACATTGTTATAAATATTTTTATCTATTTCGATTTTAAAAATGTTCGAACCGTTTTAAATTTGAATTTGTTATTGCATATTGGTTCGATTATAGAACGATTGTAAACTTTCCAGAAAATTGATCAAATTGAAAATAGTTTGTTTGATTCTTGGCAATTCTCTTCAGCAGTAGGTGTTATATAACAATTACTATGGTTATTGAAATATTGAATGTAAATGGGGTTTGCTTGCAAAACCTCCGCTGACGAAGTCGCGGGTAACAGCTAGTAATTTTATATTAGGGTAATTATTCATAATTCTATGTTATAAGATACTATCCTTATTCCATTCATTTTACCATTATACTACACATCATATAATGTGTTGGTTGTAGCTTGATGCAGTATTTTAGGGTGTGTTGCAGTTTTATTGTAACATATCACTTTAGCAGCTAGGACACACTTAGTATTGGCTTATTGCAAATTTTACAGCACATGGCAATATCAGTGTTGATAGGTGAGTTTAACAATATACTTCACTGTTATTTGTTAAATTATTAGTCAGAAAATACATAATATAATATTCTAATATTTTCATTTTGAATTTTCATTAATTTCAACCAAAGTATTTTCTTAATGATATAATTAGTAACAAATAATAATCATATTCTCACCTGTAATTATTCAAGGCATTTAATCCTCTGTGTTGAACTTATTCATGTTACATTTCATGGGGGTGTTTTCACCAATAATTATTAGCAAATTTATTACTTGGTTCTGAAATTCTTGGACATGAAAATATATGCTCAATAAATTAAAATATCTAAGTTACTTATTAACTTGGACAGATTTAACTAGTATTGGATAAATATCCCATTTATTCACTCATTGAAGAATGCAGTTTTATGCTGTCTCTCTCAATCCCAATTTTTATTCAAGCTACATGAGAAAGAGAAAGACATGGATCATATAATCCACATATTATATGGTATCCTACAAACCAAACTGTTAGAAGTAGAGATGAGCTTTCTGTGATTTGTAATGAAAATATTTACCCGAATGACAAAGTTAATGCATGAGCAAGCTTCTCTCATTCATATTTTATATGATGAAATGCAATTTCTAATTCTTACCTTTATGTGAAAATTCCTTAAACCTGAAACAGTTGTCAGTTGCAAAACTGCTAAATTGTATAACATAGACTTGAAACAGACAAATAATATCTTCAAAATTATTGATTTTGGCCATGCTGTGCAAGAGACTAATCAATTTTTGCAAATCTTTCTCATGAAAAGTTTTTACATTACAGCTGAGTCTGAATTACTTTGTCAATGCCTTTTACAGTGTATCTTGTCAACAAAGAATAGAGTGCTTTATGATCTTCATGCACTGAATCCATTTGTAAAAGAATCTGGTAACGTTGTTGCTAGACTTTCCAGGCATTCTTTGTTTTCATCCATAATAGTTACTACCAATACCTTTCTTTATGTTTACATAAAATTACTAATATAAATGATTACTTGTAAAATGGGATTATTTAACTATTTTAAAAATATTATCCTCTCCCACCTCTTCAACATACAGAGAAATGTTGGTATAACAAAATTGTGAGACCATCAAAATATTTACATTGCAGTGAAATTTGGTTACATTGAAATACAGTCAGAAATGCAAGGATAAAAATTTTATTCACAATAAAAAATGTGTGCATTTTAAAGTAATAAAAATTTTCAAAACACAATTTATCTGTTACTATTTATATGGAACCAAATTTCACATTTTCACAACATAAGTTATATTAAATACGAAATAAAAATTTATACTGTAATATAAAATTAAGTTATCAAAAATATCATGAGCAAACATCTGAAATAGCAATGCAGTCGTATTGATTAGTTGAAATCTTGTCTCTAATTGTTGTTGTTGCTGCTTGCAGCCATAATTTTCTGTAATTTTTACTTTAGCTGCTCTGTTATGTATAACAGAGCAGGGAAGATTGGTCAAAAAATGATCTCCCCAAGACTTTTGCATTTTTGGACTTGGGGGATCTGAAAATGTTGAGAAAGGCAAAAAAAATTTGGAAGTTTTTCTCTGTGTGCGGGGGGGCATGATTTTGTTCACCCACTTTAAAGCTTAATAACTCCTGTCTTTTTATCAAAAATTTCTGAAATTTTGCAGGGAGGTTTTTATATTAGGGGGAATTCATGTTATAAAATTTTGGTGTTTAAAGGTCTAGAGAGTTGGGGGAGATATAAGAGGTTGTGTCATATCTGAACTAGGATTGGACTTATGAAGATTTTACTTGTTATTAGCATTTACAATGTTTTATAAAACTCATCCCTCCCTGAAAAATGAAGCTTTTTGCTATTTTATAATAATTATATAAAAAGCTTTTTCAATAAAATTGCATGTGGTGCCATCTGTTATAGCACCATATGCAGTTTTAAATGTTGTTGCCAGTAAAGTTAAGCAACTTGTTGTTAGATTTTTCTTTGTGTTCTTTGTTTATCAAAGTTTTTTTGATAAAATACTGAGTACTGTAAGTATGCCATCATTTAATTCCTTTTTGCATGTCATTGTTTTCATTTTAAACTCATAAACTTAAAAGAAATCACTGTAGATTAATAGCATCAAGCTGAAATTGTAACTAAGGATTAAAATGTAAAACTTGCTACCTTGATATTCCCTCAGCTGATTTTTCAGGAAAATGAATTATTTTGGTCTATTTCTAAGACCTGCTTCAGGTGAAAAATTACAAACAGATGGAACTTTCTATATTCTAATATGTCAAATGCAGAAGAGCTCATACATGAATTCAAATTCTGGAGAAGGTTTATTTTATAAGGATTAAAATTGGTGTTGCCAGTTAAGCCAGTTGAATTACACATAAACAATCTGGAAATATTTATTTTAAACATAATAATCATTTACAAAAAATGAATGGTTTATGCATTTATGGATTTTATTACAATGAAACTTTTCTTTTGTAATGGACAGAAGTTTTATTATGTTAAACTGAAATTTTTGTTATAATGGTATTTGTTAAACTGAAACCTT